CTCCCCTCCCCTCCCCTCCTCATCCTGGCCTCAGACATCGGTCTGTGAAGTGCACAAGACACACTTGCAGCACACTCCATGCTGAGCCCCCATTGCATGATTTGTGTTGTGTCCTCCAGTCCCACAGAACAGTGGTTGCCCTGCCAAGCCCCAGGGACTTACAGGACTTTATGGAGAGAATCTAGGTCATCCCATGGATCCTGAAAGGTCCCGTCACCATCACAGATGATCTGTGCCCAGGAATAGTACAGGAAAAGTCTGGATAATACAGGTTCTACAGGCAAAGCAATGGTTGCAGCAGGCAGCCCACCAAGCCTGAGCAGCACAGAGCATCTTCCCACACTTGCCTAGGACAGTCCCTCTCCCTGCGGAGGGGGACAACAGTCACACACAGCTACACTGAGACAGTGACAAGGCACAGACAGACACAATATCTCATGGAGGATATGAGCCTGTGTTTTGCCTGCAGTGTTTTATTGGTCATTTGGAAAGAAGGCCAAATTCTCCTTTTGGCAGTTACCTCTGCTTTGAGGCAGAACAAGGCAAGGGAGAGAGGTTCCTGCCCTTCCTGTTCCAAGAGCTGCTGGATGCCAAGGTGGGCAACCTATCGCCTCCTGATGCAGCACTGGCACAGACACCCTGACATAGAAAAAGGCCAGAGAAAAGCTGCTACCTTTAAAAAGCTCATTATCACTGACAGTCACAGTGGTGCCCGCCTCCATGGCTGCAAAAGACAGAGAGGGCAGTGTTCAGGTTTGTGTGATCATCACATATGGATCGTGTTTGATTAAGGCAAGTTACATTGATTTGACAAATACATTTATTTGTATGTCTTTTACCTATTTTCTACTAGAGTGCTTTATCACATTTGGAGTTGATTGCCAGTTTTTCCCTAATGTTTCTGCTCACTACACAAGCACTTTCTAAAAACTCCTCCCAACAGTATGCTGAAATGTTCTTGGAGGTAGTTTCTAGTTTCCCTGAACATGGCCAGTTTGCTAACAGTAAAAGCTGAAGATTCCTTCTTCCAAATTCAGCTTGGGAAAGTTCTTTCATCAATCACTCTCCAAATATAAACTGCACAGATTTGCTTGAAAATCTGTTATCCAATATATTCCCCATTGCAGCATCAAGAAAATATGCATTTTCTTCCTGCTCATTTCTTTCTTACCTAAGAAGCACAAAGTTTTGACCTTCCTTGCTTTTTCCAGAGGAGGTTCTGGTACATTAAATTGCTCTCATACAACATTTATTTAAAAAAAACAAAACCTATCTTTGCCAGGTCTCTCTAGCATCAGAGCTACTTTGCCTAAAACAGCAAGACTTCTGATCCCATTTCTTCCTCTYGGGATCCTGCTCTCATGTGTCACCATGGAATTTAACTGTCTATGTGGAAAGACAAGTGGCATCTTTTAGGAGGTCTTTACATTTATCATCAGCTCAGCTCAACCAGCCTGTGGTTTGTGAGACTCAAAGCATTTCCCTCTGCGTTGGTATAAATCTGGCTGGTATCTTCACACTGTTGTGTTACAGACTGAATTATCCTATCTATAAAACACCAAAATAAACAAGCCTAAGGCTTGTTTTGACCTTTGAATAAAAATGTGTCTGGGACACCCTGAAAATCTTACTGAAAGCATCTGGTGGTTTAAAGGATCTAATTAAATTCATCAGCAGATACAGGATCAGCATTTTCACAGTTTAAAGGGTCAAAGAAGAAAGTACAGTCAGAATCATCAAACAAGTGATTAATACGATTCCAAAAAAAAGTCAGGGCTGGCAGAGACAAGCGGGATTGGGAGGTGGCCTGGGGCCGGCGTGGGATGGCCCAGCCCCTGTGAAGTGCTGCTGGCAGGGGAGCGGGCTGCCTTAAGCACCACCATCAGACTAGAGGCTCCCACACTCAGTCTGGAGTGGCAGAGCTGGGGCAGGGCTGCAGATCTGTGCTGCCCTCAACAGGAGCCTGATCCTTAGCCTGCCAGAAGAGGCTGCCGGCTCCTGGCAGCACCTGAAGGGCTCACCCCTGCAGCACGGCTGTTCCTGTATTCAGTCTCCAGCAGCAGGTCTGGGGACGYACATGGGTAGGAGGTGGCAGGGCCACCCCAGTTACATGCACCTCTTGAGGTGCTTAGCTCTGGGGACGGTCACAGGGSAGCCACTGCATGTGTGTACACATGCACATGTACTGGCATATGTGTCTGGGAATGCTGCTATCCATATCAGTGCACAAATACACATGTACATGTGTGCATGCAGCTATGCACGTGTGAGAATGCACAAGGCCATGTCTGTGCGTCTGCATGTCTTTCTCAGGAGGAGATTAAACTGTTAGGTCACATGGGAGCTACTGCTGGATGGACCCTACCTAGGATTTGGGTTCTTAGAGTTAATAGGATCGCTGGAGCTCAGGATGGTCATCCCATCAAGATAAATGTCGCTAGTGCCCACTTTTAAGCAATCTGAATTCAATTAGGCTAATTGGAAAACAAGTAAAGGAGGATTGCATTAATATAGCCTTAGAGCATGAACCTCTCYTCCCTTCCTCTGTGCATGGCAAGCCTAAACGCCAGAGCCCTCGCACACAGCCTGTGGTGCTCCCACCAGAAAGGGCTGCCTGGCTCCCAGAGCCTATTCCATACACAACAGCCCAGACAGACAGCAGGACTGCAGGCTCTCTGTGCAATTCCTGGGTGCCAGATAGGACCCTGGGAGCAGTGGAGAATACACAACTGACTCTCCCAGGCACATCAAGAGAAATCTCAGCAGTAAAACAAGGAAGGTGTGAGCAATGCAGTGACAGGAGGAGGCAGCCATTTCCTCATGCACTGTGCTTTCAAGATTCTGAAACTGCACATTTAGGAATTCCTGGGGACGAAAAAAGCAAAGCCTTTTTATTTGTTGTTGTTRTTTTTAACAATCTATTGGCTGATACAGAGCGTGAAGGATACAAGTTCCCTCTGGGTGAATATTTTCTCCTATTCCTTGCTTACCACCAGTTGATTCATAGTCTGACCTTGGAAGCCCCATTTATCCTTCAGGGAGGTCCTCCCTAATGCACATCTTTGGTCCAGAGTGTGATTTTTCACCTGCAGTGTGACTTCAGCTTCAAATCTCTGCTCTGCAAGGCAGTAATTATTTCAGCTTGACATAAAGAGAAGGCAGGAGAAAAGGAAGGAAGAATCTGTGGCATTTTATGATGCTGATTTCATTATGTGAAATCATGTCCCACGTGTATGTCTCAACAGCAACAATGGGATGAAAACCATTCCCCTTTAGTCTTCACTATGCTTGTACAGAAAGGAGGTACAGTAAACAGCTGCACTTTACAGATTGTCCACCTTGAGTTTCCATGCCTAGCTTCAGCAGAAATTGTAATAATACATAGCAAAAAAAAAATTAAAAAAAATAAAAAGTTTATAAAAAAGAGGTGATAGAATTGGGGCATCTCTTGGAAAGGTATGTACCAACCCTGCCCATTTCATCCCCTAATACTCTCAAATTTGATTCTAGTTGCCTCTGTAAATTTCCAAAGATCAATGGCCTTTGCAAAGCTGTGATTCATACATTCTGATATGACAATACTAATATGACACACGTTGCAGAGGCCGCTGTGGCAGCAAGGGATTCAACTGACAGCCAGGACATCAGACGCAAAGGGAAATGTTCAGTTACTGTTCTTTGCCATTCAAAATCCCCTAAGTAATCAGACTTCCTCCCTCCGTGACAGGCACTCGATGCCTCATGGGCTTGTCAAGACACACAATCTGTGCCTCTAGCATGGCAAGAGAGAAAAGAGAGATGTGGAGCTGGAAGTGTCAGAGCTCTCTCTCCTCTGCTACGGGGTTATGGTGGGTGTTTTTTTCAGGTATTGTTTCACACTGGGACCAAGGAAGTGGCTTCCTCTTTCAACAATTTCACTCCCTTGCAAGAAAGATTCTATAGTGACAAATGTAGCTCCATATGGAAAATACAAGTGTAGTGATCTACTGCTGAGGAAAGAGAATCTTTCCCTGTTAGGGAGGAAGGTCTTGTGTGTTCTGTGTGGGACTCAAGCACCCTGCTTCAGGGGTGTAAGGCTTTTTTGCTGCATATTCACATGGGGATTAACAGCAAAAAAAAATGAGCCTAGACCCTGCAGCTGACCACTTTGACAAGTACCCTAAAAGCAGCATCTGTTCCAGGATCCAGTGCCCTTTATGACCCTGACTAAAGGGTTTTTCCTCTGTCTCACCTTCCTATCTTTGTTACAACAAGCAAAAATTATTCCCAAATTTGCCCAGGGCCTCTAGAGGGGTAGGTATGTTTTGTGCTCGTTTTTGAGTGCTGTAAAACTCCAGCTTCAATTTAGAAGAAATTACGGACACAGCACAGTTCATTCATCTTCACTAATAGAGTTCCTGGGAAACACACATGTAGATACAAGGAACACAATGGGCCCTGGCTGATTGCTTTGAGTACCCTCCAATGCCCCTAAAACGGCATTGACTTGCTTTTTATATCATGCGCAAAAGCCACGCTAAACTTGTCTCATCTCTGCTGTTGGCCTCTTCCCTCTGTGCCAATGGATGGC